TCCATCAGCCGGAGAACCTGTCCGGCCGCCAGCATCTATACCTGTACCCACTACATATCAAGAAGCCATGAGGTCTGTGGATGCCAATCAATGGAAAGCAGCTATGGACAAGGAGATGAGAAGCCTGAAAGATCATGATGTGGCGGATCTAGTTCCAATTCAGAGTCTACCTCCTGGAGCTAAACCCATTGGATCGAGATGGTTATACAAGATGAAAGCAACCAGAGTTATGAAGGCAAGACTTATCGACCAAGGCTGGAGACAACGGCATGGAATCGACTGTGGAGGAACCTACGCACCTGTGAGTAGATTTAGCTCACAGCTGGTCTTAATGGCAATTGCAGCGGAAAGAGGATACGTTGTGGAAACGATGGACGTGGTGACTGCATTTCTTCAGAGCAAAGTGGCAGAAGAAGTGTATGTTCATCAAGCTAAAGGATACGAAATAATGGATGAAGTGACGGGATTACCGCTGGTGATGAAGCTCAAGAAAAGCTTATACGGATTGAAGCAGAGCCCTCGGAACTTCGGCAACGCATTTGCCAAAGGAATAAAAGAAATCGGGTTTACTGCTCTACTGAGCGACCCGTGCGTATATGTGTACGGTGCTGGACCGACATATGCCATACTATGTGTGTACGTGGACGACTGCACACTAGCTGGAAAGACACCGAGCGTGGTTCAAGATTTGAAGAAACAACTATCGGACAAATTCAAGATGACGGACGGAGGACCAGCGGAACTACAGTGTACTACTAGGGATGGAGATTTCTCAGAGCGACGGAGAAATCGCAGTGAGCCAACACATATATGTGATGAACATACTGGACAAGTATCAAATGAAGGACTGCAAATCAGCGGCGACTCCAGGATGCGGGCCAGAAATTGAACAAGAGCCGGAGAATGCTATATATCTAAGTGACGAGGACAAGAAACTCTACCAGGGAATAGTCGGAAGTCTCCTCTTCTTGACTAACACGACGAGATGGGAGATTGGATATGCCGTCATGATCCTGTGCAGAGGGATGAACAAGCCTACCAATCAACCTATGGTCGGAGCAAAGAGAGTGCTGCGATACCTTCGAGGATTCCCGGATATGCCACTAAAGTTCAGGAGAGGGCAATGGAACCTGAAGTGCTACTGTGACGCGAACTTCGCTGGATCGGGCGAGAGACTTCAGAAGCGTTCTTCTACTGGATATATTTTCATACTTGCGGGAGGCGTCATCAGTGCAGCATCAACTCTGCAGAAGCTAACAGCACAATCAAGTGTACATGCCGAGATCATCGCGATGGCTACAGCAGCAAGGGAAGCAATTTATCTGCAAGGTGTATGTACTATCGGAACTTGGATTTCCATGCGGCAACATCCCGCTTCATTCGGATTCAACGGGAGCGCTGAGCACAGCAGGAAACTCCATGTTTCGAGGCCGCAGCAAGTTCATCAGCACGAGATACTGGCTACTTCGCCAGAACGTCAACCAGGGAAACATTGTGCTAAAGTTCGTGAGGAGTGAGGAGCAGCTTGCGGACATATTGACCAAGCATCTGGAACGTGTCCAATTCGTCAAACTGCGGACATTGGTTCAAGAACATGGAGGATCTACGAAATAGGAGATTTCATGCGGCGGAACTGCAGATTTCAGATGTATAAGGGTATAACGACAGCACGAGAAAGCTGGTGCGACGACTACACACCAACCACAACCGAGAAGAACAAGACAGGACTACCTGGACAACAACGACACGGAAATACATCACATACAAGACAGGACTACCTGGACAACAACGACATACAAGACCAACAAGACCAAGTAGGCGTACTTCCTGGACGACAACAACAACAACAACAACAACAGCGTCATCATCGAAGACGTCTGGAGACACAACAACGGCTTAATTGCTACACTGGAGAAGGAGACGGGATGAGAAGGAAAGTCATGACGTATGAAATAGTTATACCGAACATCAGCAACGTAGAGAAGAGTGAATTTTGTGAAAATAAAGTGAATCCCGGGCATGTACATCACAGACATGATTTTTGCTGCAGGGTCATTCTGTCTACTAGATAGAAGAATGAACGGTTTTTTTACGAATAGGTGTTTGTGATACTTCGTATGACGTGTGATTCTGGTAAGGTAAAATAATTGGCCAGATGAAAGAGAAATGCTGTGATAGAGGTATGTGTTTACGTACGTGCTAAGAGCGTCGAGGTACAGTAGTATGCGACGAATGAAAGGTTTACTATGGTCATTCAACCGTAGTCAATGTATTTCACTACTGTAGAAACAGTTAAGCGCAGTTTTTTTTTAGTTGAGCAAACTTGGGGACGAAATTCTGATCTTTGTTCGCTGAATGCGGGGAGAGAATAAGAAGATAAGGAGAAGAAGATAAGGACGATTTTTTTTGGAGCAGGATAGCAGCTGAACAGGCAGTTGTTGAAGCATGAGTAACGCGCGTACCGTTATACAAATTGTGGGGGCGTGTGTAATGTAAGAGTACTGAATTGAAGTAGGTGCGTAAAAGACTTGCAGGATTTATGCAGTAGATTTAGAACAACACTGGGGTTGTTGAAGTGCACGTAACATTGCATCCATCATGGGGGCGTGTTGAAATACAGCGCATCACTGCTGTAGGATGTGTGTAGTAGAATAGATGCAGCTGTATGATTGCTGTATGCAATGATACGTACATGCGGTGTGATATGTGACGTTTGGTAAAACGTAACATGTATGACGAGTTCTAGCGAGGAACTCACGAATGAATTGATGGTTGAGCAGAGGATTGTAATTGTAGCGAGATCACGAGGTGTTGCGAGCCCCACCGGGTTCACCTCCCAACTATCCCTCAACATCTCACCTCTGCAAGTACGCTGAAGAAGAAAGAAAGTACAAGTCCCAAAAGCGGCATCTAGAAACAACATCGACTTCGGTCACTGTCTCAACAGACTTCGGTCTACACGGACTTCGGTCTGCACATCACACAGACTACTGTCTGGAACTGCGCATAGATTGGCTTAACCGCCTGCAGACACGACCCTTGGGTACAGGGCACCTCGACACTACACATTTCTACACTCACGGCTGTATCTCGACGTACAAGACTCCAATCAACAAACCAGCACTGGCAGAAGTGCGTGGAAGATGCTGTGACAGCACAACTAACTAAGTCGACACTGGTACGACTTCTTCTGTGCACAGTCGGCGTCTGGTCCATACTGCTTGCTGTAGAAATACAAAAATCGAGCCATTTTTTTTTTTTTCCTATAATAACAAAAAATAAATGTATCACGTCACGACGACCATCCTGTGAGTATATTTAATAATAATAATATATATAATGTGATCAGGCCGAGTTGATGATGTTGTACCAGGTAAGTTAACTCCAATACATACATGTGTCTCCATGAGCCACTCATGTCTATGGCCGCCAAAAGCACATCTTTAGCACAGATGGACTTGTGGCGCATAGAGGGGGGGGTGATGTCGAGGACACCTGTCAGGAGTATAACCAACCATCCATGCCATGTGTGCACAAACAAAGTGTAAGAAGATATGGCTCCCTCGGGGTATCTTGTCACAAGGAGAGTGACAGGAAATGCACCGTCGGAGATGGATATCTTCTGAAGTCCCTGGCCACTTGCCGGAGGAAGGAAGTGGAAGCGGAGAGTCTTCGACTTTCCTCTCCCTCTGCCACTATCGACTTTCCTCTCCCTCTGCCACTATGGCCACTCTCTCTTTCTACCCTCTTCTCCTCGTTTTTTACCGTTTACACATCACGAGAGGAAATAGCCTTCCCCTGGCAGTGGGATAATACTGCCACGGCACCGGCCTCTGTCTCCGACAGTAGCCAGGATCCTCATTGGCGTCGACGAAGAGACAGTAGCCAGTGTCCTCAGTTTTGTTAAAAGAAAAAAAAATCTAAAATAGCCTTTGAGTAATTGCTGCGTTTTTTTTTTGTTTCCAGTCGATCTTGATATATTTCAGCTTCTTGCAGATAAAGGGGGGGCGGGGGGGGGGCTCTATGAACATAGATTATAGTTTTTTGTTGAAATACACGACAGTCTGGCCATGTGCACCGGTTTTGGTGTCCGTTGCCGTCTCCACAGAGAAGGATTTTCGAACGAGTTTTTAAGTGACTGTGGTGCCGAATGCGCGAATGTTAGCGGTTGAATATGCGTCTTTCATGAATGGCGGTTAGTTTTGCTGTTGTTAAGCTTTCCTTCGTGTGCGCATGTTGGACCACGCTGAAGTTCTTTGGAATGAGATTTGTTGAAAGGTGACGGTGAACGAGTTAGTTTTGCAGGAGGGATGTGAGTGGTGCCATCGTGCCAGAATCGTTTGCAGGAAGGAAGTACACGGTATCGCTGGACGAAATTTGTTTCTTGTAGGCATACGGTGCACTAACAGTCAAGCTGTTTTAGAAGTATGTACATGGTGACTATTAAGCCAATGTTCGGATGTTGCGGATGTTGCGGCACCCTTACGCAAGGTGGGCAATAGCCAGCACGCCCACCACAAATGGGCACAGTTTTTTTTTTCGGTGAACAGCCTCCGTAAAAAAACGTGGGTGCTGCTGTAGTTCTTAGGAGGCGCAATGGAACCCAACCCCTAGAGCGATTTGGAACACGGATGTACTAATCGCGTTGTTCGCCGGCAGCCAAAACACGGACCAACACGGCACACGTATGCAGCAACGGGGAAAAAAGAATCTACGCATTGCTTCAACCCACCACGTCGCATGCAGGCGTCGAACTCAAACAAGTGCGCGACGTCTGTTCAGAGGAACCAAAACATCTTCTTGACAACACAAAGTACAAGGCCGGCTCGTGACTTCGGGTGTACCAGCCATCCATGTTGCGCATACGTGTGATCATCCTCTAGCTGCACAACCAACCAGCCCGCGGTTGACACAATGCAAAGAATAAAAAGAAAAAACAAAAAACTTGCAAGAAAACAAACAATAACAATTACACTTCATAAAACCTTCGACTGCTGTGTCTACTACATATATATCTCGGACGTGCAACTAGTCTTTCTCTGTGCTTTTTGCATTTTTCCTAAAAACCTTGCGTGCATGTAAGTGTTGTGAAGCACGATCACCACTAGAGTCTCGACGATTCCGCAAGTATTTAGTTTCGGCGAAAAAGCTTCGGCAAAAAAAAAGCCGCGCGCCGGCTGTTCGCGTAACGCAAGTCTCGTGGCGTTTTACTTGGACAACACTTGGTCGTAACCAACCACGCACGCACGTTCAAAGGAAAGCGGACCTCGGGTTGGAGGCAGCCCTGCGTGAGCAGGGCAATCTACTCTAAGAAACCTCGCGGACTTGTGTACCACCTGCCCATCTAGGCCGCCCTTCACGCTTCGAACAAGCCTAACCCTCCCGGCCTCTCCGCCCCCGGAGCAAAGCCGCCCAGAAAGTCTTGCAACCGCCCCTCGCTGCGATGCCTGCGGACCACGTCGCCCCCCTCTTCCTCCTCCGCCAACAAGCTGTCGCCGCTGATAGAAGGCAGGCGCCTAGGGATGGAGGACAGGCTGCGTGCCCGCCCCGGTAATGTTGGAGTTGCGCCCACTGCTGTGGTTTTGCGGGCGGAAAAACGTGACGGGGTGGTGCTGGGTCATGCTGTTGTGCTTGTGCTTGTGGTTGTTGCCGTTCTACATGCACAACTATCGTCTCACGAATGGTTGTGTTGATGACTACACGGCAAGACAGTCCGTAAATCATCAAGAAAACGAGTAGGAAATGTCCGTGCTCCGGCGGCCGACTGGATTGATTGATAGATAGATGGAAAATGATCGCGTTCCCCGAATCATCGTACGAAACCATTCGCTTTTCCGGCTCTCACACTGCCGTGGTACCAGTAGAATTTATCGTAGTTAGTCCGGTCGGCATTATCTACGGTTCCCCCATTGTGAGCGCTGGCAACGAAAGAGTGCCAGACAGACATCCGGACGAAAGATACACACAGGTGTCCGCAAGCTTTCTCTTCTTACGGGCGGAAAAGGCGGAAAAGTATCACGAACTTGCAAAGGCATTCAGAAACCATGCCGTTGGCAACCGCCAGGTAGGTGGGTAGGTGCGCCTTGCGGGCTCTTGTCTAGTGCTTCAGCTCTCGCCTCGTCAAGGAGTAGACTACACAACGCCTCGACTGGTGGGCGCTCGTCCACCTACCGAAACTGATTTAGCCTCGGCCTCTTCCACCTACTGAAGCTGAGTTAGCCTCGCGCGTCGCACGCGGCGATCCCACAAAACTAACCGTTGCTGGCCCGCGCCGTCGCCAGCAGGCCTTCTTCTCCGCCCGGTCGCAGAGACCCCCGCTCCGCCCCGACGATGTCGTTGCCACCACGGCAAGGCACGGGCAGGCTGATGCTCGAAGCGAACGCGCCGCCGGTGTGCACCCGCAACACCCTCTTCGTCGCAACGCTGCTCGACGCCCCTCCCACAGCAGCAGAAGCGCTACCGCCCGGGGCGGCGGTGCTACGCCCGGGGATGGCGGCTGCTGCGCCCCCGCTAGAGGCCGTGCGGCTTCCAGGAGGAGTCGGGATGATGGGGTGGAAGTGGCGGGCGTCGGCCCCTCCTATGGACAGGCGCACCCGCTGTCCGATTACGTTTGGTTGGTTCGAGAGTCGTGTGGGGTGCACATCAGAACCGGAACGTTGAAGGCAAGGGGTGGGGGGGGGAGGAATCGTAGTTCAGCAAGACCAGGAGGGGGGGATGTGGAGGAACGCAGCCTGGCTGATGCGTGCGTTTTTTAGTGGTGCGCTGTGATAGACTCGGTGCATGGTAGACGCGCAAATGATCGCAAGATCGAAGGTAGCCGGGATATGGATGCCGTGAGAAATGCGCGAGCGCACGGGTATGCGATCGATTTTTCAAAGATCGATTGCTTCGCAAGCTCGAAGGGTGCTATCGAAAGCCGCCCGGCACTTGCAAGGAAAATTCTTGTCAGCCAGTTCTTTCCAAAGCCACCATCTTCGGTATGGCAGTCTCTTGCTTGTGGTGGAGCAATCGAACTTTAACAGTCGAATCGCACACCTCTGCGTTCGCCCCCACATTTACAGGGAAGTGCAAAGCTAGCCCTCGAACACGCCTCTGCTCCAAGTCCAAACCAACGTAGAGCAGGATAGCGAGGGAGAAAGTTGCCACCGAGTGGTGTCGCGGCGCTAGCATGGCGAAGGCGACAGAGCGAGTTCACAAATATGACCAGCATCCTTTTTCGTTGCTCAGATTCCCGGGTCTCAAATTCAAGGTAGACCTAAGAGTCTCTATCGTCAGCAACACGTATGTACCTGTCCCTTCAGGAACTTGAAAGAGGTGGGCATGAGCTTGAACTTTATCTCCACTGGTTGCCCCTTCCTCAGCGGCTGCGCGTCTGACCGCAGATAGCTGCGACAAGAAGGACCCCCAGGTAAGGGTAAGGGGTTAGGGCTAGGGTAAGGGGAGCGGTCCAGGCGCGCGTTTTAGGTCAACGAGCGCGGACGAACGGTTACCAGAAAATACGCCAATTTCATCAGTGCAGCACGGGGTCATTTTAGTGCATGACCAACATGTAGAATGCAGCAGGTTAACCCTAATTGATCACTTGCGGCAGTGGCATCATGAGCCGATCCGTATTTTCTCACCGTTGCTGCCGGAACGGACTACTATGAATACCTTGGGGCTAGGCCTCGTCACCCTTACAGCGACCTGGACGATCAAAGGCCTCAACAACAACAACAAACATGAGTGGCGGAACTACTTGCGTTGCCCCCGGCCCGAACCAACAGCAACACAACGGCATGATGTTGCCGAACCGACAGCACACAACGGCAAGACGCTGCGCTTGTCGCCGGGGGGTAAGACTTTTTCCCAACACGAAACACGACAACACTATCCAACACATGGTGACGAAAAACAAATAAAAAAAAATCGAGCAGAAAGCGACAGCCGTAGGACGGCTTGCAATCTTCAGAATATAGTGTCCAGGTCACAAAAACCTTAAACAAGTGCGCTGTTCAAGCGAGTTCGTGCTCGATGTCTCGGGTCAACAACCCGGCGCCGGCACGTCTGCTACCAAAACGAACAAGCGGCACCGGTACCTGTGGATAGGTACCCCCGGCAGGGCTCGGACGTCGACAGGTTCTGTCCTGAGGGCCTCCTTACGGTGTTCCGCTCGGAAACACCCCTCCGTCACGTAGATCGACAGTCCCGTCCTTCGTCAAGATAGACGGAGGGGGGGGGGGGGGGGTGTACTCATAGTCGTGCATGCCGTAGTCATTAGACCATTGACCTCGCATCCCTACAAAGCCGGGACGGAGCACGCCGGGTTCTCACCGGACCAGGCTCTCACATCACCAAGCGCGAAGCACCGTGAGGTATTTGGCGAGTCGCATGAAGGGTGAGCTGCATCCTGCTAAGGGTGTTCGGCATCTTGTGCTTACTTCCTTGCGTACGGGTGACAGCTGCGTATGACTTAATTTATTTTCTGGTGCTTTCACTTCCAGAGACAGTTGTAAGCACTGTGTAACTGCCTCGAGGGTGCTTGACCATTTTAACACAACGTGGTGCGATCATCCCCCGTTGCGCGAAGTGAGGGTTCTCCACCCCGTACAACATGATCTACTCGACCACCATTATGGTTACCGCCGAAAAAAAAAACAGAGGGAAAAAAAAAAACCGGTAACCTGGTTGCCGAGTTCACGAAGTGAATTGGCTTGTTTTACAACGTCGTTGCCAAGCGACGAAAACCCAATCCCGATGGCAAACACCGAGCGGGGGGCTTGTTTTACAACGTCGTTGCCAAGCGACGAAAACCCAACCCCGATGGCAAACACCGGGGGGGGGGGGGGGGGGG